TGCCAGTGGATCAGGATGTCTCCGGGCAAACCTACGGTTTTCGCCATAATTTTACGATCTAGTAGAATTTGTAATATGGTGATATTGTGATGCAGTCATATCGTAAGATCTAAAGAAGTAATGTCGTAAGATGAGAAACTAATAATGTAATAACATGATAGCAACAGCTCTTACTCTAGGAATTCATCCCGCAAGCAGCGCTGAACGGAAGCAGGACACCGGCTCCTGTGAGAGCTTGGGTCGTGATCAGGTGCGCTGCGAGGCTGGAGAGTCCCTTTTTGAGAGCCCCCTGGTCATTTCGAGGATTGTATAGGGTTCACATAAGTTTACATGGGGTTGTACAGTTATATCTATGGGTTTAGAAAGGGTTGAGGAAGCAGAAAGAAAGGGCTTAGGATTCATAGCATATTGGGCTATGGAATGGGGTCTCCTATTTATGGAAAGGGCTAGTCAGGGAGTAAGTGGTAAAGTTTGTGGGGGAGCACCTGGCCAGTTTCACAACAGGGAGGAGAATAGCCATAATCTAAACTCCTTAACGGGCGGTTATACAGGGGATTATACGGGACGATTACAGGGGTTATTAACCGTTTGATTGGTACCCCAGGCCTCCCTGGATAGCAGACCGACATTGGGACTGTGCGCGGCCAGGGGGTGCAGGCCCTACGGGTACCTTAGGGTACTCGTGCGGGCAGTAGAAGAAGAATGCAGGGACTATTTACAGGGCATATATGGGGATTCACTGGGCATTATTATGACGATCCGCTCCCCCACGTTCCCTTTAGCACCAGTAAGCCAAGCTGCAGCATGGAATATGAAAAACAACTGGGGATGTCTCCTTCGGTGCCAGTGGGTCAGCGTGGGTAGAGGGTAGATTCAACAAGCGTCTGGAGCTCGCAGGGTGCTGCAGATCCCCATGGCCGGCCCTGCCAGTGGAATGGGGCCTCCTGCCTCAGCATTGCCTCGGGAAGATGCTCTCGCTACTGGGACATTTTGAAGTCGTGATGTTGTCAATGTGAAAGGCAAGTTGAACGCAGAGGAGGGCTGAACGGGGACTCAACAAAGGGGCCGCATGTTGGTATGATAGCAATGAGATGTAATTAATTGGATTAGAATGTAGTGGAAAAGCGCGATCCAGATTCATCTCGCGAGGGTCTGCTGACAGCTAGGCGGGGAGTCGCCAGAGTAGGATCGACATTCATTCCACGCAGCAGCCCATGCAACGTTGCTTCCAAGGCGAAACGCTTTGCTTCGAGGTCCTAGACGGCTACTCTGAGTGTACTGTCAGAAATGAGGCCAGTCCACCAGCCAGATGGCATTTAGCTAGGTGTAAAGCCATCAGAAGTGCCCTGCCCAGGGATACAAATCGTGCGCGCAGAGAACCAATGAAAAGGGTACTCTTTGCGGCTGGAAGGATCGAGAACCTTGGTTGCAAAATGTTGCAAGAGAAGGCTTAGATGATCAAATCTATAGTCATGTGCTACTAGTGTCATCCAGCTCCATCTCACGAATGATTCAGACCATGCCAGCAGCTTGCACAGAGTATCATTCATCCAAGGAACAGAAGTGCTTCACTTCCAGCTTCAATTGCAAGGCCGGAAACTGTAAGCTTCAGGAAGTTTGACTGCATGGGCTGAACAGGTAGCCAAAATGGCTTCAGTTTTGTGATGATACGGCCCTTATATTACCTTGCATGCCCAGGAGGGGCCATAATCTTGAGAACCTTCCATATGGCATGACGCACAGCTGCGTGTTGCCAAAAAAGGATTTTGCTGTTTTCGGGGATCCGTAGTGTGTGCAGTATGCGTCGCGTGCATCTCGTGAAGTGTTTGCACACATACTCGCCTGTCTTGGATTGTGCTTGCAGGCAGCTCACGGCCCTCACAACCAGATCACCACGACCCCGCACAGTACTTACCAGGATCGCCGTGGTGCCGAGAAAAATGGATTGAGGGAGTAGAAGCTGCAACCTAGCATTTCTTGCGAAGGAGTACGTGACGGATGGGAAGACAGACTCCTGGCAGATGCTACATTAAGCGCACAGAAGGTGCCTCAGCGCAAAGGAGCCTTACATCGTGCCAGCGCGCAGCGCAGCACATACGGGATTTGTTGGGAGGCCGCTTTTCTGCCTTGCAGCTATTCCTGTGTTTGCTCGCGTTCAGCCTCACCAAGGCTTCAACAATGGAGCACGTTCGAGCGTTTGCGGCTCGTGGAAGCTGTACAGCCTGAGCCATCAATTGCTGCACCAAAGTGCTGAAAGCACTTGCGTTGTAGTGGCTTTGCAAGAGGAACTTGTACTACTGTGCATGCGCGTTGAAGGGAGTCAGGGCACATAATGTCCTGTCACACGCAGCAGAGTTAGCTTGGGTTACGCAGCATCTTGCAGACCTCTCTTTGCTGTCAAGTTGTGGTGCTCGACTAGTTGCTGAGGCGTGACGGCAGACGTGCGCGACTGGAGGGGGGTCCTTCCCTCAAGCTAAAGGACGGTGAATGGTGAGGACGGCTTGCATGCCTGCGAGATTTCCGTGGGAGATCCACAACAATGTGTACCCCGCTGTTTTGCGCTGAGGTGTACGAGGCAGCACGAGTCATGGAGAAGCTTGTCTCGCACCATGGTCCACATGGTTGGAACGAGCCTAGCCCGCAAGGCCTAGCACGTCTTCCTCAGGTTTAAAGTTCAAAGTCCCATCCGCTATCTGCAGAAGTGGTGCTGTTATCCAAAGGATCCCGACATGCTCATTGGGAGCAGTTCTGGCGCCAGGCTCCTGCTCACTCCCGTGTGAAGCCCGGTCTGCACAAAATTTCCCCACAGAATGCCACAGCAGCCTGATCCAGACTGATTGTAAGAGAAGCCCAAAGGAAGGAGCACCGTAGGCAGACAGGCTGCTAATCGCAACAGACAGGCGAGGCTCAGACTGAGATCCCATCTCACCCCATGGTAAGGTTCTAGGCCCTCTTACTCTAGGCCTGGCAGTGAAAAACGCTGTCATTGCAAGCAGGCAATGCCCAGTCGCTCCTCATACATCCCCATACCTAGGTTCCAGATACTTGAGTGGCTGCTTCTTTTGATTGAGGCCCAATCCCGAGCGCAGTTTTCGCTCTGGGCTCTGCGCTTACCGCGGACATCGTGTGAGCCATGTGCATGTGCTCAGGCGTGTCAAAACTATGAATGTTGTGACCATAGCGGGATAACATGATGATCATGCGTAAGCGCGTCCTCACAACACGACAGACAATAGATGTGGCAGGACCAGAAGGACACGAGAAGAATACGAAGAAGAAGAAGAAGAAGAGGAGGAATGGAAGGCGCAGGCCTCCCCCTCCCGTCTGTCGTGCTGAGGCGGTCATGTCGGCACCACTCATGCTGGGGCCAAAGTGCGTGTTTCAGCAGTGATGTTTTGCAGGGACGTGGAAGAAATAAGCCTTACGAGCTCTCTTCTTGCTGAGGCTCGGTGCCAACATGCTCAAGCTGACAGACTTCGATTTGGAGCCTTGGCAGTCCAAAATTCATCCTTCGATTCACCAAGGGGCCTTGATGGTGCCCGAACATGCTGCACTTGTGAATCGACTCAGGAGACCTACAGCTACTCGGCCTAGATATCTGCCAGAAGGTGGTCTGGACAAGCCTCTGCCTGCCTCCGACCAATTTGTTCAGTGCAACTTACTGTAGTTTTGGGTAAGCATAAATCTGAAGAGATCATTCTATTCTTGTGAGGCAACCCTGTGGACGTTGTTGTGCAGGATCATAGGATCCACGGTTTTGGGAAGGCCGGATGAAGGCTCGTGACATTTCCCACCCTGCAAACGTAGGACGTCCTGTTTCGCAACATTGAAGCCATACTCTAGGATGCAAAGCAACAGTAACTAGAACTTCCACTCCCGCTCTCTGAGGCAATGCGGATGCAATTCGAATCAACCAGGATCCACTATTCGAAACAGGACAGAGTCACTAAAGTATTTGCTGGAGTTTAAGCCATGATGAGACTGTAGCGGTCATGGTGGTGATAGAGACAGTAGAAGACATAGATGAGGTGGACCCTCCACCCAGTAATAGTGGCAATAAGGATTCCAGGGGCTTCTTCTATTGCTCTTTCCCTCCCCCAAATTTTAACCCCCCCTCATATTAGATATTTTCGCTGTAGTTATATTATCTAGGGAACGTTTACTATCAGGGGGGTGGGGGGTTTTAGAAATTCCCGTTTCATATTCCATTCTCTCCGTTTGATTTTCCATATTCCGATGTTGCCCTATATTCCCACTATACCAATTACAGAGTGAGGGGCCCACCTATGGTATAGAATGCACTCATCATCATACTGTGCCTATCGGCTTGCTTCGCAGACATCGACTGCTGGGGATCCTGTTCGCGCTTCGGATTTCATTGCGGTTTGTGGTGTATGGTCTAGGGTATACCGTAGTGTTTGGATGTGTTTAGTGTCTAGGGTTTTCGGGCGGTGCCGGCAGTAGCTACAGCGTTCTCGCTGAGTCCCCATGCTGCTGCAGGACGAGTTGTCTACTCCAACTGCCCCGAATATCCATCGTTCAAGACAGGTGCCTGGCGCTTTTTAGCTGCTTTGCAGTGACTTGTTCTATTCTGGGCACACTTCTTAGATGACCTCGTGGCAAAGATCCTCTCAGGTTTGAAGTATGCGGGCCGATTACGTTTGAGTGTTGGGAGGACTTATGGAGGGCCCGCTTGGCTTGGCCTGCTGCTACCTTACAAGACCATCAGGCTGAAGCTTGTATACCTCAGCGGGGCTTGCGTTGGTTTCCCAACTGCCACGTTTACTACACGTCCTCTCGGGACAGGCAAGAGGGATCTCGGGGTGCCCCCGATGTGCTGGCAGTCATCTAGAAGAAGCCTGCAGACTCCAGACGCAAGGGTCTGGGCTACTTTAACTTATTTGCAGGGTGAGTTGCTGGACTCTAGAGCTCTAGCTGCTCATGCGTGGAGGCAGTCAGCCAGATGGAACTCCTGAGTTTGAGATCCTGTGGCCCAACGGTGGAGCAACTTGACATGGGTGTATAGTGGTAGTTGCCTGCATGGGAGGGCTTGCGCTGCTTTAAACTGCTTGTGTGCGGGCAGAACCTGTGCCAAACATGAGCAGCTTCGAAGCGACAAGTAGCTCGTGGTATGAGGAAAGTACAACGTGGTGATAAGTGATAAGTGATAAGCCTGTCTAAAACGAATCTGTTGGCTTTGCCTCAGTGTTGGCCTCTGTGTATGGCCCTGTGCCGATCAAAGTAAAATCTAATTACCAGGGTGATGACGGGGCAATGTCATGCAATGCGTTGCTGTTTGCGATGCGGGCTTTCGTTATGACATCTGCTGCTCTGTCAAGTAACTGGTACATGTTGCAGCTCCAAGATCAACTGCGGCAGACACTATGCTCCAAACTGCTACTCGGCTTTGTATAGGAGACTGGAACTGTCTTGTCAGGGCAGCTCACTAGCGTACTGTCTTATTGGGCCTGATCACGTGCATGCTCACTCAGCGACCCTTCTAGCAAGCGCTAGGATGAGAGCAAGCAGTCTTGGTGATAGACGACGTTGTAGCTGAGGTGCTGCGTGCAGTAGCGAGGGCCGTGATGACTGTTTCGGCGATTGTGTCTGGTGGTCACCAGGCAACCAGGCTGTTGAGCGGAATGCTCTTATGATGATTGTCCTGGCTGGTGCCAATGATGCTGCTGCCTAAGTAGCAGTCCGAAGGTATCATGTATCTTCTTTGTGATTATGAGAAATATGAGAGGCAGTCTTATGATATGGATGTCGCGAGGACCAGGTTCAGTTGCCACCTGGTGTTTCCGTTTCTGACTTGGGCGGTATTCTTCTTGCAGCGAAGGCTGCGCTGACAGAAGAAATTGCTTTGGTGAAGAGTCTTGGAGCTTCTGACCAAGTTGTTGTTCTTTGCAGGTGGCAAGCAACCTGCGTGCCTTCCTGCATACAGCAACGACACCGTCCGCAGCTTAGGAGCTCGGGGGTCAACAGCTTTGAAGCCTGATTTAACCCTAACATAACCCTGATTCATTATAGTAGCTTCCATTTTTCCATTATCCCTATATAACCACTCCCTATCTTATCCCTCTCAAACGAACCCGAATATTGCCCCAATATTGCCCCAATGGGTACCATATAGCCCCTATAATGCAGGATCCTCGCATTATCTTCTCAGATGACGGCCTTGGGGGCTATAGTCACCCTTAAGTAAATAGAGCATGGGATATCTGGGGTTCCTGTTATAATATACCCAAAGCCATATTCTATCTACTTAAGGGGGGCTATATCCTTGTTCCCAGCGAGGTCAAAAGCGAAGTCATCTGCGGAAATCACAAGGTGGGTACCTTTAAGGGGTTTATAATGGACGAGAAAATGGAAGCTACTACATCATATCAGGTTTATATAAGGACTATAATAGGGTGTACATAGGGATATATAGGGGTTGTTTGTTGGGATAATGGAAAATAAACTGGAAACTACTATAGTTTGTTAGGGTTATGTCAGGGCTTACTTTGGGGTTATATGTTGGGATAATGGAAAAGAAAATGGAAAGTACTTTTTTTGGGCCCTGCTGAGTGGCAGTTCAGAAAAAATCTGAGGCCAGTCATAATGAAAGACAGCAACTACGGAAAAGCAATTCTGTAGAAGAAGCGTGGTGATGCTTGGGCTCTTACGATTTTACGTCAGCCGAAGGGCTTGGAATGTGACACGCAGAAAAATGAAAAACAGACAGATAAGCAGAAATGGATGAACGCACATACGCACATGGATAAACAGAAATGGATAAACGTAAATGGATATGCAGGACATGGATAAGCAGAAATGGATACGCACAATATGGATGAGCTGAAATGCCTAAGCACAATCAAGCAGGAACAGAAATGAATGCGACAAAACTGGCTCTGGCATGAGTTGCGCAACGAGACAGTTGTCATTGGCCCATACAAACTAGCCACAGCAGGACACGCTGGCACTTTTTTCATGTGAAGCTCTCGAGCATCCTGGCTCGGATCGTTCACACCTCACCATGAGAATTGCTCTTGTCCAAAATCCTGCGAGCACGGATGCAAGGACAAGCAGAGGAGAGACATGTTCGGATGTTGCGCAATTTCGCTGCTAGCAGGTTGCGGCCAGCCAGGTTACGTGTCTGCTTCTCCAATTTGCTGCGTCCGGCTTCCGCCCCTCCATTTTTTCCGCGTGGGGCGTCTGCCTCTCCATTTTTTGGGGAGGGTCACGCGAGGCCGTGACCAGCCAAAAAATGGAGAGGCAGATGCCTGACGCGGAAAAGAATGGAGCGGTACCGCGATCCCGTTCGACATCTATGTTGTTGCGAGAGATTTAGAGAGTGCCTCAAAGCACAAGCGTTTACCATTGCTCACGCCGATCCTTTTCGACATGTATGTGCTGCGGGAGATGCAGAGACTGCCTGAACTCACATAACTCACAAGCGTTTACCCCACCCTGCCCAAGCGCGCGCACCTGTGTGCAGTGGCCCGAGTGAGAAACTGCGATGATGCAAGTGTTTTTTGTTTTGTGGCCGCCGTGCTTTTGCGGTTAAACTAATTCTTCCACCCATGCCCTAAAATTTTCAATTTTTCGGTCAGACTATTCTGCCCTCATCACCAAAACTTCCACTTCTACGGTTTGACTATTCCGCCCTTACCTACGCATTTCTGCTTATCTATTTTTGCTTTTCCATTTTCTGCCCATCCGTTTCTGCTTATCCATTCTTGTTGCTGCTTTTCACTTTTTGGGGGCTCTGACCTCAGGCTAATGTAAAATCACAACTGCAGCCACGGTGCAGAACCCAAACGAAAGAAATGGCCGCATGTTATGCTCTTCCCACATGTTCTGCTCCATGGTGTGAACCGTGGCAGCTGTTAGCATCAACGCTACTTAGCATCCATCCCTCACAGTGTTGCAGCTTACCGCATTGCATGCTTGTCCTACGTTGTAGCGCCAGTGTCATCAAAAACAGCAGCTGTCTTCAATAAGATTCACACTCCGACATGCGTGTTTCACCAACGCAGGATTTACAGCATTTCATTGTCCTCCCTGTAAGTAGGGTACTAGCAACCGTCGGTGGCATGGTGAGAGTCCTCCTTCCGGTGGTAGTTTTTGCAGGGGTAATTAGCAGTAATGTCCAGAAACCTGGGCTGCAGCAATCCGGCTGCAGGCAGCAAATTGCGCTGAATGCCCTCAAGGCCACGGAAGGCAGGAGGGCCTGAACCCATTTGCCGCGTGCAATCAGGAAATTGGAGATATCAAAACTTTGGGATCACAGCTTTAATTTCTGGATGGCTGGTTACATAGGAAATTTGAACTTGGTATGCTTGTTATTCGCTACCTCGCTGTTGAAATCACCCAGTGGGCTATTTGCATAGTCAGGTCCTTTCAGGGTGCCCTTCATCACAGTACTGGCATCCCGGAAAGAAAACTGGTATCCTAATCGGTATGAGTTCCCAAATCCTGCCTACCTGACGTGGTCCAGGACTTGGTGCAACAAAGATTGTTTCTGGCTCGACGAGGGCAAGTGTATACCTGCTTCAGACTCTGGGAAAACACGTTACGAAGATCGTGCCTGGACTGCAGCCAAGTGCCTTGAGCTGCTGTTTATGATGGCTGCCATGAAGCGCAAGACACAAGGAGGCTAGCGTACATGAAATATCCCTGTCCTCCATGGAGCCGTGTTCTGGCATTTGAGGGTGGCACCCCTGGACGGTGTCCGTTTTTCACGCACAGGACTCTTTTGCAATGCTAGCACCTGATGCGAAGGTTCATTGTAAGTGTAAACTCGAAGGGCGGCGAGGGTAAAGCAGCTGGATCGTCCTTGGCGCAGGACAAGCGCCAATGTCAGATTGTCTGGGCCAAGACGCTCAGTTGCTTGGATGACTTAGTGATGTTTCTCACGTTCTGGCCCAGGTGGAGGTCAGACTGGCGGTAGTAAAGGACTAAAGGATAGTAAAGGTCTCGGCCCTGTGGACCATGGGGCGTATCCGAGTGTATAGTGCATCACTTGTGTTATGGGAGCTGCAAGGGCTTGGAATGCGGCTCCCACGCCCCAGCTGATCCTGCCCTTGTCTGGTGCAACAACGGGCTCCAAGAAGTTTTGGGTGTTTTGGCCTTCACCTTTGCGTTCGTTGAGGTAGCGGTTCGACCGCGGTCGTTGCCGTGAACTTCGCCAAGACTCCTGCCAATTTGGTGTTCCCGCTTTCGTCCGTGCTCGAACCATGGGAGGAGCCGCGGCAAGCAGCTGTTGTGACTTTTGTGCGCTTTGTGCTTACCTCCCACGTCTGAAGCTTCCAGAGACCAACATTGCCCCAAGCTCCATGACTGGTCCTAGTAGATACAGCAGCCATCGCTACCCACAGTGCTCTTCTGAAACGCTAGCAGTAGTGTAATCAGGCTGGCGTTCTGTTGAGAAACCTGTGGCCACTTGGCATATCAAGACAGGATGCCGTTTTGTCCGGGAGCGCCTTTGTTTGAGCTGATTCGCGCACTAGGTCAGGCAAACAAACTCCTAGTGCTGACTGCGCTGTCGCTGAGCCTCTTCAAGCAAAGGTATGGAGAGGATAAGGTCGAGCAGACGAGCATCAATCTGCAGTTGGAGGCCCACCATGAGTTTTATCTGAAGAGGTATTTTCCGGAGCATTGCCAGCGTACTCCCGCTGAGTGAAACTGCGAGCGTACATACTTTCACCTTGGCACACGCTTTTTTTCACGGAATAGGGCGTAGGTAGGTATGACAATGCATGTCACTAATGCGGCTACACCGCTCTGCCAGCATTCTGTTCCCGAGAGAACGAGCATTACTCTCATCCTTGTGCATGCGCGTGCTATCTTTTGCGCCCTCCCACCCCCCCACCATGAACAAGGTTCTGCATGCATCTCTCAATATCCATCTCGGTTGTAGCACTAGCAGGTACTACGAGGCTTCTCCTGGCTATTCCTGTGAGTATCCCATTTGCTGGAATGCCTACCTGTACCTGAAGCTTTCTTCATGGTCCCCAGTCGCGAGCTCACTGAGTCTTAGACGCTTACTACTACAGTCACGAAACAGCCTAAAGCTATGAAACCCTGAGAAAGTCTGAAAGGAAATTGAACTGCAAGAGCTTTCCTTACTGGTTCTCAGGGAATAAGGGAATATAATCCCTAGATAATCCTTACATACTATATTACCTTATTGCCTACGAACCCTAGGCCCTAAACCCTGCATAGTAGTTTCAATTTTCTTTTCCACTATCCCCATGTAATCTTTTATTATACCCCTATATTCCCATATTCCCTATAATCCCTTTATAATCCATATATAGTCTTCATATTTATTCCCTTGTTTCCCACGAAGAAGCAGAAAGTTGTAGGCAGAGGGCGGCCATGAGTTGCTCGAGCTGATGAATCCGGACGGCGCCAGCATTGGCACTGCCGGGAGCTCAGCTCCGCAGCTCCACATGCTTTGATACCACAATGCGTAGTAGTAGCAGTAGCAGTAGTAGTAGTAGTTGTAGCAGTAATAGTAATCATAGCAAGACTAATAATAGTAATGGCTACCAACTAAGGTCATTGCTTTTCAGAGTCTCGTGCATCAACGCCTCATTGAGAGTTGTTGAGATGCGGTTGAGTTCCAGAAACCTTGCAGCCCTAACTTGAAGACTCCTGGAGCCGAATATGCCCACACACGCACGCGCCGCAACGTGAGAACGTGAGGCTGCGCGGAAAGCTCGCCCCAGGCCGAGGTGCTCTGAGCCTTCACATCTATGGGGTTGGTTGGGCTGTTTGGCATTGGCCTGGGGCTGGCAGAAAGTAGCTTTTACGCTGTGACCAGGTTGGGGCTTTTTTGTGGAGATCCTATATTATAGTATATTAAAGTATCACATGGTATATTGGAATATATTATAGGATATCATGGTACATTATAGTACACTCGGTTTGGAGTGTTTGTGGTTGCCATCTCTGCAGGCGGAAGAAGGGTGCCTTTTGGCGCGCTCCTATGGTGGAGCAAACGCCTCGACCACAGTCAGGTGAGTCGGAGGCAGGCTTGAGCTTGAGGGATCTTGAGGGTGTTGCTACTACTACTACTACTACTACCACTACTATTTTCACGATTATCATCATCAAGTCATTAGTTATTATTACGACGACGACGACTACTACTACTACTACCTATGACTGTTCTCATTGCTATGGTTACTATTGTACTACTGTTAATATTATTACTGTTAAGATTATAACTACTGATAATATTATAACTACTGTTATTGTTAGTAGTCTTACTGTTATTAATATTTGTGTTGGGATCTGAGACAGTTAGATGGTCACCCTCGAAGGCCAAAGCTGTCAACAGCCGCGGTCGAGTTCCGTCGCAGCACGTTGCCAGTACACAATCTTGAAGGTAAGCTGTGGGGCAGGTACTTCCGGCCTAAGACAGATCAAGGCTATCGTACAATGATAGGAACTACTGCCACGGGAACAAATGGGATAGTGATGCATGCGAGCACTTAACTGCCAAGACATCAGCCTGGTTTGGATACTGCCCCCACTCAGTAACATTTGGATAAGAATTATGATCATACAAAGCCCTTTATATCCCCATCATAGGCTGTTACTTGTTACTGGGTGGTGGCAGTACGCAGTTAGTAGCGCTCAGCGCCTGAAAGGTGCCAGCGCCAAGCCCGCCTCCTCCGACAGAGACAGATGCAACGTTGGAGGCCAGCACTGGCCGAAAGTTATGTTTTCTCAGAATCAGCTGAAATTCTAATTTCTCCCAGGTTCCAGGGTTCCAATGAACTTGCAGCTTGTACTTGGCGTCACTGCAGGGGTTGGGTTCAGGGTTGGGGAGAAGGGAACGCACAGAAACAATCTTTACAACTAGCAAAAGATGGCTACATTGATCAGACCTACAGCAGTAGTGGCTTTTGTCAGAGCTGTGGAATCAGGTTCCTGCAAATTGAGCATATGCAACACTAGCAGCGATTCAAGTTTTTCTATGCAGAATCACGATCTTAAACTACGAGATCCGCTCAGTAGTCAGAAATTGATGCACCTAAGAACATGATCTTACTTGCCTTATCCACAACTTGAGAGCACTACTTGGTTGTACCTAGACCTGTATACCCTACCCCTTCGTGAGTGTACCTAATTTTGTATAAAGAAGACATTAGACAGAACGTTAAATAATTCCCAAAATGGCTCGGGTATAGGGGTCTAGGTAGCCAGTTCTGGAGGCCCTGCTCTCCCGTGCACCGCGGTCAGCGTTAGAGGATTTGGTGCGTCAGTCGACCCTCTGCTCATTTGGGAGTTGCTGAAGAATAATCCCCTTAGAAACGTGAACAATCGACCCCTCCGCATACTCCCTGGAACCCCATATCCCTGTGATCACAGGGGCCTCCAAATTTTGAGAAATTTCATTTTGGGTCAGATATGTCATCTTCCGACCAAAACAAGCTATAGGCCAAATGGCCTCCAGTAGCTGGCACCACGCCTTGTCTGGTCAGAAGTTTAAAGTCGGAGTGTGTCAGGATAGTGAGGTGCTAGTTTATTTTGGATTTTGTTGAGGTTAGACTGGATGGTTAACGCTGACATCCTTGTATCCGGAAAGGTGAAATTGAATGCCTGGTTTGGATCACTGGCATAGGCTAACTGGGGGTTAGTAGGGAATGAGGGAACATATTATGTAGAGACTGCGTAGGGATTATAGATAGGAATATAATGGAGCTACTAGTAGTTACAAGAACGACATAATATGAAAAAAAGGTAATAATACTGGTAGTAATTCATCTTATGCTAACAACCAGGAAGCAGGTGCTAGACTTGAAGCGTAAGATCCTCAGGCAGGCCCAGTTTAAGCGGGTCTCCACTTAGGCTCTAAGAATGTAGGCCGTGCAAGTATTGACAGGATGTCTAGTCTAGAGGCCGGGACTTGGGTTCGCGATTCAACTTCTCGCTAATTTGGGAGCCTAGACTTATAGTCCCCCTGAAGTAGATAGAATATGGCTTTGGGTATATTATAATAAGATCCCCATATACCCTNTATTCTATCTACTTAAGGGGGACTATATACGGCTCTTCTTGGCCCGCTCGATGCTACAGAGACCACCCTGGATTGTATTGCCAGCAAAGCTTTGGCTAAATTTGAAAAAGGTGTCCCCAAACCCTACCAAATGGTTTCATGAGCGGAGGCTGGTCATAGGACCGGACAACAAGTCCAGCAATTCCATCATCCACAATTCACAGCTTGCAACTTCTAAGTTCAGTGCACCTCATGCTGTCCAGGTATAAGTATTTGGAGTTTCAACGCTGCTGCTCAGTCCTGCTCGCATAAGTTTGCCTTTGGGTGTTCTATGGAATGGTGAGACCCCTTCATTGGCGCGGCAGGTTACTGCAGATGGTTCAAGTCTCTGAGGGAAGTTACAGCATCAAATACTCCCAATTCACATGAAGCCCCCCAGGCCCAGTTCCTACATGTATGCCGCTACATGTACACAAGCCATGTATGTCCTCTACTCGAAGCTTGTCCCCAGCTTCAAGAAAGGGACCGGACAACCGGAGTAGCCCTCTCGCTGCTTCTCAGGATCCGTGGCCACGCGTCGGTTACGCACTTCGGCCAGGTCTAAACTGCACAAATATTATACTATATTCTACTATATAGCATATTGTATTATAATTCTACTATGTAAAAAATTATTCCTGGGGTCTTGATGCGCCCCATTTCGGGGATGGAGCCAACAAAGACATCTGCCCAGGGTGGACATGCCTACCAGATCTTTCCAGGAGAGAGTCAAAGAAGGAGTGAAAGGATGCTTAGGGGTTACTTGGCTATTGTCTTTTCAGGCAGTCACTGATCCCTTATGACAAGTCGCTTGCTTGGGCCAACCTGCAGGGTGGGACTGTACTACACAGGATTTCAGCCTACGATAAAATCAGTGAGGTTGTGAGGTGAGCTTAGTGGGTGTTTTGCCAGGGTAGTTCAGTGGCCAGAGGCTCTCAGCAGATTAGCACCTGTGATGAGTGGGAAGAAGAGGAGTCCGACGGGAAGAAGCATAATCTTCCGCACCCCGAACTGCTGCTAACTTGAGCGCTGCGCGGTTTTTTTTTATTTATAAAGCATGTGCTCACTGGAAAATAACCAGAATGGGAAGAAGATCAAGAACAAATCAGTCCTGCTAAGGATGGAGGACCTGCTTCGACGTTGGCCCGCAGAGAGGGACGACGAAGGCCGGAGAAGTTGTGAGAGGGTTCGCTAAGCTTGAAGTGCGCCCTTGATCGAAGTAAGATGGATCCCATAGCATATCATAATACAATATAGTATATTCCGGTATACTATGGTATAATATGGTATATTATGGTATATTATGGTATTTTTATGGTTTATTTATGGTATAAGTATAGTATAGTGCATGATACAGATAACATAGTATATTCCTTGACCTGGCTGGTCCCAGGTCTGGAGTTTGGGTGCTCCAAGAAGGGGGAGAGATCATGCATTCATCAAGGCTATATGGGGATGATATAGGGATAATGGACAAGAAAATGGAAGCCAATATGGGATAATAGGGATTATATAAGGATTATATAAGGGTATATATAGGGATTTTTGGTGTAATATTGGGGCAAATTGGGGCAATATGGGGATAATGGGTATGAAAATGGAAACTACTGTTTAGGGTTAACCGCTGTCAGGTGCGAGGGTGCTGCACCCACCGGAGTCGCTGCCTACGTGGCTGGATCACTGGCAGCATTGTGTTGGTCATCCGCAAAAGATGCTCGTCGTGCGACCCCCGCTGTGCCCCGCTAGCAAAGCTCCTCAGGTGCTGTCTTCAATGGCTGCGCTCACCTTCGTCCTGTGCATCCGTGGAAGACGCACCCACGCGCTCAAGACTGGATGAAAAGTGGCGTGCGATGTCCTGATTTGCTTCTTCCTCATGAGCGGTTGTGGTAGATTGTTGTGTGCCTGGAAAGTTTTGCTGTAATGTGAGCGCCCTTTCAACAACCCCCCCTGTAGTTGCGAGCGGGCCAATTTCGACACGAAGGTCTAGGAGAGGAGGGGTTGTCATACGAAACTTTGGGACTTGAGCTCTCTGTGATAGGTCGTGGAAAATTAAGAGGAGGAATAGGAGGTATGGATTTCAATGTTGTCCAGGCAATGCTTTGCAGGGGTCATTGAGCCCGCGATTTTTTATTGTCAGCCCTTTTGGGATAGTCACACCCTAAAAACCCAGGATGCGTGTAGGTTGTTTATCAAACCGCATGGTTTGCGACTAATGCCGTAAAACAAACACGCATCATACTTGGAGGAACTTTACCTGGCGCGGGGAATTTTATCATCGTTACCCCCTTCATAACAATCATGCGCTCATGTGGCTGGGCGGCTGGGACCACTCGGACCCTGATTTTGGCCAAGAAAGCTTGTTTGAAAAGACCAAGTGCACGAGCCCGTGCACGGCGGTTGCAGTTCCTGCATGATGTGCTTGGTCAGGTGGATGGCGCAGAGTGGTCTTATGGAGCCACAGAATGCGAGGAGTGTTCTTAGAGCCGAGGGAGAAGACAGCTCTAGCTCGCGTGCAGCGGTACTCTAGATCTAGAATCTACAAGTCCATATGGTCTTGGAGCAGAGGCGGCTTTAGGAGATTGGGGCCGTGCAAGGAGGATCCAGGCGTCAATTGCAACCCGCCGAAGATGCACCCCGACCACCACTACAGGCAGTATGCAGGGTGTGACGTGGCCAGCAACAGCTTCAATTTTTGACCTGCACAAAGCCAGGCCCAATGACCGTGAGGTAGTCTAGTGAATTGAGAAGCCAGGTTCTGGAAAGGGTTTCAGGGACAAGCTTCGTTTCGTAGCTGCATGCGGGAGGCAAACTGTGATGATGCCGTGCACGCAGCTTTCTGTCGGGGGCCTCATGGATATGCGGGTGGCAATTGTTCTGGAGATAAAGGACAGTATGGTACAACACTGCACAGAATGAAAGGATTAACAAAGTTGTTCTCCTGAACTGGTGCCTTCCTTTGCTACTGGCTACGGGTGGGGGATCTGGAGCTGCAGCCACGCAGGGTCTGCAGTTGTCAAAATTGCTGAGATTCTATGACAGCAAGTTGTGTGACCTTGTACGGAATCGTGTTGCTCTTCCGGCGACTGTCTCATGGTGTATCCCTCCGGCATACCAACTTTTCAACTCCGATTCTGACCGATGTCCGTGCGCTCGACTTTGCAGAGGCCCCGCAAATTGAGGACATCAGGGAGCAAATCTCGCAAGAGTGCGCGCCTTCAGTCTCGGGGTGGCTGAGACTGTAGTGTCAGCAGCTGTCTTGGGGTGGTCTAGGTCATCACGCGTTAGCCAGGTTGCAAGTTGAGCAAAGTTAGCCATGTTGGCAAGACAGTACGCTGTGCATTCTCAGCTTCTTGCGTGTCAAGGCAAGTATGGCAGGTCAGTTCCTTCACATCAACTACGTAGCTCTCCAAACCATCACCCAGATTGAGCAACACATCCAATATACCATAATATACCATACCTAGCCATAGTGCCATAGTGCTGGTGTGAGGAGGAAGGAGCAGGGCTGATAAATTCTCCAAGGTGTAGCGCAGCTACTTGCGCCATGAAACCCGAAGATGGCCATAGCCGCAGCTGGTGCGCAGACCTGTCTCTGGTATGGACATGGCCCCTAATATTAAAAAGCCTCAGAAGACCATTGCGGCCAGAAGAGGTTCCTGCAGTGCCTGCAGATTTGAAGGCCTGTCAGATCGTAGCGGAAGCGAAAGACCTTTGGCAAGCAGAGAAAGAGCGCGCACTTTCTCTGGGTAAGGAGCCCAGCCTGGAGCGCGTGTTTTGGCAGGCTTGCCGCCAGGACATTATCCTCGGCATGCTGTTTGGGTGTGCCAGTGGACTAGTCACAACGGTAGCCCGCCCGCTGCTTCTGCAGGCTCTGGTCGATGGACTTGCCGGCGATTCGGAGTCTTGGACGCTGTCGCTGTGGGCAGGGTCGCTTTGCTTTGCCTTGTTGGTCGAAGGCCTCACATTGGCTTTCACACGCCACATGATAATGGGCCGAATTGGCGTGCGTTTCAACGCCACATTTGCCGGTCTGGCGCAAGCACACTCCCTGAAAGTGGCTACATGCCATGCCCGTGCGCAAGATGCCCCAGACATCGGGAACTTAATTGGCAATGATGCAGTTCGCTTCCAGCAAAATTTGTTCACCCTCTCTTTAGTGCCTGGTGCCGCTGTGTCTCTGATGGGGGGGATTGTGATCCTCGTTTACACGCTGGGCTTGGCTGGTGTTGTTGGGCTTGCTTGCATGATCGGCATGTTGTTCCTGAACACCCGCATCTCCCAGATGGCGAAGAAAGCAGAGAAGGACAACTTGGCTCGGACAGATGTCCGCATGCGAATCATGACGCAGATTGTACAAGGCATTCGAGCAATCAAGTTCTGTGCCTGGGAGGAAAGTTTCAAAACCATGCTATCAAAGGAGCGAGCCCTGGAGTGTATACCTCTGAAGTGGTACCGTGTCCTGACACAAAGCACCGTGCAAATCGGTCGTGCCAACCCGATTGTGGGTTGCTTGTTTGCCTTCTTGCTTTTGGCCCTTTCTGCCCGAAACGATCCGGAATCTTTCAAACCGTCTGACATCTTTGCAGCGCTGAACGTGTTCCTTGCACTACGTTCGAGCTTGATTTCCATACCAGAGGGGCTAATCTACATTGCCACGACGCGAGTGGCGGTCCGCCGCTTGCAAGATTTCTTGTTCATACCAGAGGCCCTTCGACACATCGCTGAAGGCTGTCATGAGGGAGACTTATGTGTGAAGGTAGAAGCGGCGACCTTCCGGTGGCCAGAGAAGCGTGCAGGCGGCGACATCTCTCCTGAGCACACGCTGGAGCGCTCGGCCTCCACACGGTCGATGAAGAGTGCAATGACACCGGGCTCTGAGCTGCTGATCGGGGACGTTGAGGTGCCACGAGGCTGTTTCACAGCAGTTGTTGGAAGTGTTGGAAGTGGCAAGAGCTCTTTAGTTGCAGCGCTGCTGGGCGAAATGCCCATGACTTCCGATGGCCTCGTGGAACTGAGAAGCCGACGTTTGGCCTACGTTCCACAAAAAGCTTTTGTGCTGAGCGGCACGATCCTGGAGAACATTGCCTTTGCACAGGAAGAGCCGAGTGATGCAGAATTCCGCGCTGCTTTAGCTGCAGCCTCCTTGTCCGAGGACTTGACGCGCATGCCCAAGAAGGAGCTCACGGAGGTTGGAGAGCGAGGGGTGGTGTTGTCTGGAGGGCAACAGCAGCGTCTCTCAATCGCACGGGCGCTTTACCGCCAGGCTGACCTGGTCATAGCAGATGATCCCATCTCAGCGTTGGACCCCATCGTGGCAGATGAAGTTTTCCTGTCCTTGAAAAGGTGTGTGAGCTCGAGCAAGGGCCGCCACTCCTGTCTTGTGGTCCTCAACCAGCCTTGGCTGCTTATACATTTCGACCATGTGATCATGGTTTCAGCTGGACAGGTTGTGCAGCAGGGTGCCCCTAAACGGCTGCTGCAAGAAGACGGGCCCCTAAGGTCGTTCTGCTTGGAGTCGGGTTGCAACATTGCATCGATGTTATCTGCAGAAGTCTCGCAAAGTGTGGAGTGCATCCATTCGGAGGATCCCACGGGCAGTCGCAAGGCGCAGGACAAGGAAAAGCTGGTAGATCTGACAGATACCACTGACCTTGTCAAAGCAGAGGAGAAGCTGGCAGGTGGTGTGCCTCTGCAAGTGCTGCTCCGGTATATCAGCGGCATGGGTTACGCTTGGTTCGGCCTGTGTAACTTCCTTGTCCTCCTGGCCTACTGCACCCTGGGTTTTGTGGACTACTGGCTAGCTCTTTGGGTTGAGGCAAGAGAAGCGTACTGGACGGAAGGCAAGGTGTCGGACGACGACTTGTATGTCACCGTTTATGGCGTGGCAGCAGGGACATTTGTTTTCCTGATGTGCCTCACATCCTACTGCTTTGGCGAGGGCGGTGTGAGAAGCTCACGTAACCCACCCGAGACTTGAGAATCGTTTGATGCTTTGCAGTTTCAATCCCGTGCTTAAACAATGCAAGCACGAAAGCACAAAGCAAGAAGATCAGCTCCTCCTGTTTCTGAGGTCATTTGCACAGCGAGTGTTTGAACAATTTGCTCCATGCTCCGGTGCAGTTTTTCGACGCCACTCCCTCCGGCCGCATCATGTCCAGGTTCTCCAACGACATTGCCATTGTGGACAAGGAGATTCCCAAGTGGATTGACAACGCGTGGCAACTGTCGGCCACAACCCTGATGTTGTTTGTGCAGGTTGCGGTGCTGGTGAATTTGATGTTTCCAGTGGTGATTACTGCTGCCTGCCTTTTTGTGCTACAGATCGTAGTCATCTACCGCACCAACCGCGAGTTGCGCCGCTATGCCAATTCTGCCATGGGACCTCTCCTGACAACCGTGAACGAATGCGTGAACGGGCGGCAGGTAATCCGCACCACGGATGCCATGGAGTTCTTCGAGAAGAGGCTTTGCGGGAACTTGGACGAGTATCATCGCTTCAGTTTCTCAGCCCTGGGGTTCCTGGACTTTTGTTAGAAACTATGTCTTTTTGGTCATCCCGAAGGCCCGCAGGTAAAGAGATGGGTCCAACAACGATTTTGTTGGCGGTTTGGGAGACGCTAGGTCGGTGAATGCCGGGGGAATGTTTGCTTTCCTGATCTGCTTCATGACGGCCAGCGCAACTTCGGCTGTTGTCATCGTGAACAGGGACCGGTACCCTCCCAGCTTCTGTGCACTTGCGCTCACCTACAGCTTCCTGATGCCATACTTCCTGAACTTCTTGTCCATGACGGTCCAGCTTCTGCTCACAGCCCTCACAGGTTTCTGCATTGTTGTGGAGGGTTTCAGACTGTGACTAGAAAGCTTAATTAATGTGCCTTGCAGTTGAAGCACTCCCTGCAGGCTTGGAGCGCCTGCTGCAGCGCCTTGGCAGCTGCACTGTAAGGTAGTTCTTGTGCTCCTTCAAGTCACTAGACTTGAAAAGTCCGGCTTCGTAGCTTGCACCCAGGTATGGTGACCATGGCATTCTCCCTGCTGAGCCGCTTTGGCATTTGCAAAGCGATCAAGCGCTCGGCACATGGCCAGCTTCGGGGCGGGTCGTCTTCGAAGAGGTGTCCTTGATCTACCGACCTGGCTTGCCCAAAGCCGTGGACAAAATCTCCTTCGAGCTTCAGCCTGGGGAGAAGGCTGGAGTTGTGGGCCGCTCTGGTGCAGGCAAAAGCACGCTAATGGTTCTCCTCCTCCGCTTAAACGAAGCATCCGAGGGCCGGATTCTCATTGATGGCATGGACATATCCAAGGTGGGGCTGGGCAAGCTGCGCAAGGCCATTGCCGTGGTTCCACAAGAGCCCCTCCTCATAGAAGGGACGGTGCAGGAGAATTTAGACCCATTTTCGGAGCATTCCAGTCAGGAGCTTGCTCAGGTGTTGCGGCGGGTAGAGTTGGACCCAGGCCTACTGGAGGCTCAAACATCTGCGTCAACCCTCAGCCAGGGAGAACGCCAGCTGCTGACTTTGGGGCGAACTTTGCTGTGGCCTGCGAAGGTCCGTGTCTTCGATGAGCCCACGTCGAATATCGACGCAGCTACGGACAGGCTTATTCAGCAATTCCTGCGCTCCCCCACCATGTTCGGCCACTCAACTCAGATCACCGTGGCGCACCGGCTACAGACGGTTTTCAGCTGTGACCGAATTCTTGTCATGGCAGGTGGCAAGCTTGTTGAAACCGGGCCACCCCAAGAACTGTTGAACAGATCTGGCTCGCAATTGTCCGCTTTGGCAGCACACGCTGGAGTCGAGCTCAAGCCACTCTCCGACGAATCAGCTAGTTCCACCAGGCTCACCCTTTAGAGTATAGCTGCGCAGTTTGGTATAGCATGGCTGTGCTGATGCACTGTTCCGCAATTTTCGAGCCTAGTTAATGCTTGCATATGCTGGTGAAGCAACCAGCTCTCGGCATGCTGCAAGGTTTTCCTTTCCTGTGTACTTCCCTAGGTTTTAAAGCAAACTCCGTAGTGCTAGGAACAGCGTAGCAAACTTGGAGCCTTGCCGCAGCCCCAAGGGGGTACAGCATCCTCTTTGCAGCTTGGCACAGCCTGGCATAGCATATCTGCAATATGAGGTGCTTAGCCCCTCCATTTCTGATGCATGAGTTTTGCAGGTCCAGGTGGGAAGTTGGCAGTGCTGGCGGAACTGCTAGCTCTTGCCTCCCAAGGCTTCATTGCACCCACCCTTCGCGAGATCAAAATCAGTCTTGGCCGAATTGCTTTTTTGCTGCCGCAAATAAGGTTACAAGGATACTGCTTATTGTTATGATTGATCCCAACTGTGTTCACAATTTCCGTTCCTACAGTCGTTGCTGCTGTGATTTGGTTTGTTGAAAGCGCCAAGGTACCCTGGTCCTGCCTATGACCTGCTGCGGAGGACCCCAGACTTGCAGTGAGGCTGCTGCTGTGGCTGCTGCCAGTGTCTTTCTTTGTGTAATCCTTCTGCTGTTTGCTGTCTTGACGCTTGTTGCAACACTTTGGAGGAGAGCCATTGCTGTCGTATGACTGTTACTATTCGGACCGTGCATCGCTCTGAGCCAATTACAGCAGTATTGTCATGGATAGGTGTGCTCAACTACGAGTACGGTCACCATCATTACCATGTGCAGTATAGCTACTGTATCACATTTGTTACAACTATCTCTGCTGCGAAGCCACAATGTTCTTGTAGACTCTTGATTGATACTGAGGCGCAGCCTGTAATTTAGAAAGGACTAGTAGCGATACATGTCTGAGTTCTAAAGCAGAAGGGGCTTGTTGATCAGGGGTCAGTCATTGCTACCACTGTCTTCCTCTTCAAGCATGGAACCCCATATCGCCCTTTTCCAAAAGCATAGTTTTTTTCCTGGAGCGTGTTTTGGGGCTTGGAGCAGGTTACCTTTTTCGAAAACCCTTACATGAACCCCCCATGAATCCCCATGATCGTGTTACTTTCCAGAAGCGATGCTCGGGGACTGAGTGTGTAGGAATTGCTGTCATTTTGCCGATGACTTCTGCCAGCGGCTCGGCAGGGGACTGAGTGCAAAGTGCCTCGTGTTCCCAGAAGGTTTGTCTTCCGATGCCGAGTTTGTTGTGCTGTCGGACAAGGATGGGCTTTTGAGGTCACATAGGTTTTGCACGAGGATTATGTTAGAAGTTTGTTTTGGGTAAGCGAGTATTCTCAGAACGAGTGGGGCCGTTCTCTCTCCAGCTTGCTTGATTCAAGGTGTGGGTCGCATCCCTTCTTGGGCCGGAGCCCAATTCTTTGCAACTAATTAGCGTCCCCTGGATTCTTGCGTGGAGACGCCCAGCAGTTAGCTTTAGGGGCAAAAATCATTGTTTTGCAGGGTTACTTGCTAATGGACGCCTTTACGGCCGGAAAACTTAAGTGATCATTCAATGCTCACGTATTGGGGAATGTACGACAAGAGGTGATATTCGATCGGCTACTTTTTGCCAAAAAACTCACAACCGCACTAATAGGAATGGCAGTACTTGCGCCCTCAAGTTCTGAAAACAGTAAGGCCGCCCAGCCACCTGCGCTCAAAACAACATAGTCCTGGAGTGGCGGCTATACCCTCGCCGCTCACATTGCTTCGTCCGTAGCTCGTGGATCTGCTAGAAGCAATGAGCATCGCGGCCCCTATTAGAAGTAGTAGTAGTCGTCATCGTCGTCGTCGTGCCAGCCGCAAAGCGTCTATTTTGGCACCATGCTGCTGCTACTATTACGACTACTACTACTGCTGCTACTACTACTACTACTTCTACTCCTACTCCTACCACTACTATTACTACTAGTACTACTACTACTACTACTACTACTACTACTGTGGCTGCTGCTGCTGCTAAAGCTACTACTACTACTACTGCTGCTGCTACTACTACTACTACTACTACTACCACTACCACCATTACTACTACGACTATGAGTACGACTATGACGACGACGACTTCTACTACTGCTGCTGCTACTACTACTGTGGCTGCTGCTGCTGCTGCTACTACTACTACTACTACTACTACTACTCATTGATGCTACTGATACTGCTGCTAGTGCAAGTGCTCATTCTAGAATTCTGGTACTGTCATCGGCGCGGTCGTTGTCGAAATGATCAGTGTTTCTGCTTCTCCCAGGTGTACAGGCTCGCTCGAATCGCGGCCAGAATTGAGAACTTTCTGCAGGCAGCTGGGTGCCAGAACCTCTTCGCACCTTAAGATTGTTGAAAGCTTTTCCGTTTTTTCACGTCAAGATTGCTGGTAGCAGCTGATGCCATGGCTGTCTTGACTCCCTGTGGGCTTCTCACGATTACCGTCATCACCAGGAGCAGCATCAACACCGCCATTGCAGTATTTGTGTCACCAGTGACAGGGCTTCCGGGTCTTGCTGTGCTTTTTTGGTTCTTTCCTCACTCGCGGCCTCTAGATGAACGGTCTTACCCCCAGCCGAAGCCGAGCAGGCAGAGAGGTTACAAGGCATCTAGAAGTTTTTGTGCTTGTTGCTCTTATCCTCCGCGCGGAGCCTGCCAGTACTAGTGATGAGGCGCACAGCTCGGCAGCGCTTTGTTCACCAGCTAAAATCAGCTAAACACATGCCAAAGATCATTGCTGCCATGCGCCAACATAAGCCTGTTGTATTTTTCGCGATGTGACAACTGATGACGCTGCAGGCAGCGCAGCGAATTCGAAACCCGTGCTAGATGTGTGGCCAGCTCAGTTGAAAGCTTTAAACTCAAGAACGAGCCAGCGACAGTTCCATTGGGCAGACCGTGATTCTGCGGCATTCTTCTCCGGGGCTTCGCAACTGCAGGTCACAGCTTAAACATGCACACGGTTTGTGATGTAGAATCTGTTCAAGATTACTTTTTCGCGCTTGCGCGGCTTCATGCAATCTTACTGTTCTTGTCTGATCCATGCTTTGAGCCACCAACCTGAGGTCAGAGCCATGGCGTTAAGCACCCGCAGGAGCTCGAACGAGCGGCCGAGTGAAAAAGCCTTGCCGGGAGGTGACAAGAGCCTGTCTCAACCCTACCTTCCCCCAGAATCATCCATTCTGGTTGTATGCCGTGCGAAAACGGTCCAGTAATCTTGTGAGCTCAATCGTCAGGCGAATAATGGATCTCCCAGGGTTAGAAATCTCTGCAAGCCTACTGTCGTGCGACAGCAATTGTGAGCGCACGCTTCAATATCTCAGTGCGATATTTTGCAGCAGTGACCATAATATACCACAAGCCACACCCAAACACGGGGGGAGCTCGTGTCTTCCGCAGCATGACTATGGCCCAGTAAAGACATGATGACATTTTGAGAGACAACATCAAGACAGACAAAACCATCTAGGCACCTTCAAAAGTGACGCATCATAAATTGTATGCGCCGTTTTAGACGCTCTGTTTCAGGAAAAAATCCTTGGGTCTGCGTGAGGAAGGCAGAGTCTCAATCACAGTTGATTTCCTTAAAAAAAAAGCAAGCTCCGGACCTGATGCCATGGTGAGGTACAGTAGTTAATAAGGGCAGGTGCAGGCATTCCCTTGAGGTTACACATGAGTCGCGGCAAATGCTGCCATTTGGCGGCCCGGAGTCTGGTCCCGCGCTGCCTTTTGCAGGTGGGATTGGCAATCATGCGGTATCCCAGACATGCTGCCGGCTTTCTCGACTTTTCACTCTGCGCACTGCCAACATCTAAAGATCCGTGATTCTAGTTCTCTTGGCCATGCTGCTGCTCCCAGACGCTTGTCTGAAGCGTTTGCTGTCAGCCAGCTGAATGTACAAGATCAAGTTGGCTCTGGAGCATTCATAGGACACACAAATTACCACACTCTTTTATGCAGAGTCTGTAGGATGCAAAAGCACAACCCTGTCGTGGCTCCCTTGCGACGTGTATGGCCTCGCGGGTGGGAGGGCTGACTCTCCAGCTGCTCAGCCTGGCACGGTTGGCCTTCACGCAGCCTGCTGCATTCCATGACGATGACTGTGAGTTGGCACCTGACATCCCTGGTGCAAGAGCTCCTTGGCTTCATGTTGGCCTGTGATTTCATGTGGAGGAAGGCTTGGGGGTCAGACTTCCTGCAACCTAGGACCTAGAGGATCCCTCCCATGGGGATCCACCGTATAAGACGTCGCCCAATCCCAAGCTGTAGATTCACCGCTTCGGGGTAAAATGAATAGTTTTGACATGACGCAGGCTCCTGAGAAGCTTCCAAAGTTCTTGACGGGGCAAGCTTCCAGATACTGCAAGTTTTGGAGACCCGAAAGTGCCAGTCATCGAAACCTGAGCCCTAACATGTAACAGGTTCCTTGGAGCAGCTTTCGCTTCTTGCTGTTGGAGGGCTGTGCGGCAGCAGAAGAGCTTCTGGAAGCGCTTAGTGCTGGGGAGCACTGGACTCTTGTCTGGCAGACAAAAGGCTGAAATGGTATTAGAAGTGCTTTGAAAAGACAGGCTGTGAGAACGACCAGGAAAAGCGAGTCATTGGAGCGCACACGCGTCCTGACTGTATACATGCGTAACATGCCTCGCTATCCATGCAACATGTTCGCAGAATGCCCATGTCATTCGTACAGCCTGGCTATAACGTTCCGCAAGACACATTTTACTCCATTTACCAACGGTGCCGGCCGGGTCGGGGGCGTTAAACTACAACCTTCCTAAACCCCAGGTAAGAAAGCACTCAAGCTATAACCGTGTACTTACTTGCTATTATAGATACCACCACTGTTATCTATGATGCCCACCTAACCTAAAAACCCACGGACACCACCAGCACCTCAGAGCCATGACATTATAGTCCCCCTTAAGTAGATAGCATATGGGGTATATGGGAATCTTAT